AGGTACCTGTCTCACCAAATCGATATAAACTTTTTAGAAGAAACAATTAAGTCAATAAATTGCATGTAATTCACAATTAAACTGTTATTCATTATATCTGTAGGAAAATATACAAACAACTACTGTTTCAATTTGCAATAGCAGTCAGTACCATTTACTAATAAAATAAATCATTAATGTTTTAAAATATATTATTAATAGCTGCTTTATAGTAAGTAAACTTTTAGTGTATCTAATAGAAAATTTTAATCAGAAAAGTTTAATAGGTTTAATTTTTTAATACTTATCTATATTAAAGTAATATTGTTAGCAACTGTAATCTAGTTATTTACTGATGTTTCCGTAAGTGTAAATTAAATATTTATCGTTAAGTACAAAAATAACAAAAATTTAAACCTCTTACTGTCTAAAAGTACCTAGGTAGAAAATATTTAGTTCTTGTGACAATGGCTACAAAAAATGATTAGATAATTTCTAACTAATTGAATTTTTATAGACAATACCAGTTTTCTTTTTGACCGAACACGTCATGTTGCATTATTTAACCACTCCTTCTGTTAGAAAGGAAAGGTGTTTCGGCTTTGATTTCCGTTCATGACAATAACCATTTTTACAGGATAGCAGTTTTATTCAAAGGTGGAAGGTCAGCCCTAAATAAAGGGCTAATTACACTAGACTAGAATTTACTGCGGTCTGATTTACTTGGAAGAGTCGAATAAATAAGATAAAAATATAAATGCTTTTTGTCGAACTTAAAAAGATGTGGTTCTTAACTTAATTTGATTTGACTCCTTTTTCGCAATTTAAAAAGAAAAAATATTTCTATATTGCGGTGGAAAAAAATCTTAAACAGTTTTTGATAAGGAAAACAGAGGAAAATAAAACTAATATAAATTCAATTTAACTTAAGTGTGTCTGAGAAATGGCGAATATATGAAATCAAAAAATAGAAAACAAACATTTTTTAAGCTTTGTGATTTCCTTTACATACCTAATGTGAAAATACAATAATTTTTATGAGAAATACATTTCTTTTTTCAATTTTAAAAAGAAGAGACACCGCAATGGATTTAAGAAGTTAATGCATTAAGTAATTAAATCCAAAACCGATTAACAAAAAAAAAATACGCGTATTTATGTAGCCTACACAATGGAATAAAGGCTGTTCCAATAAATACTACGGTACAGTAAAGTCTGACGTCAATTCAATACAATATGAAGCTGTTCCTTTATTATAGGTTTGTACTAGCAACTGTTACAAATATATGGAAACGCTTATAGTTAAACATCCAATATGCTTCCGTATCTGTAGTGCGTCGTTTTTGAATAAAAAAATCCGCCCAAATAAATGTGGTTGTAAATTAAAACAATCAATGAGTTAAATAATATTGAACAAGTGAAAATTTTGTTGTTATTTATTTATCTTTTCGCGTCACGTGGTGAAAGTATTGCGAGTGTCTTACACAGAACACAAATATGGCGTCAATTTATGACGTCATTAGTTTAATGTTATTGCGGCTACTAGAGCACTATCAGTTTATAGAAGAACAAATTTACTGTATATTGTACATTCGAGCACGGCTGAAATATGTTCCTGGTCAGTATTTTGTCGAAACAGTCAATATGCCGTACAAAGCTGCGATAAAATACCGATTAGCTACAAAAAAGTACCAACATAATTGCTGTTATTAAAAATGAATTCAGTGAATAGGTACAGCCAGCGTAGTGAACGTCATATGTACAAATTTACTCTCTTTGTGGGATTCAATAATGACCAACAACGTCCACTTCTGATAAAGATGTTCAAGGTATTTGATCAAATAGATTAAAAAACTGCTTGGTTTCTCATGTATAGATGGTGTTCACTACACTGTCTGCACTTATTCATTGAACATTGTTTGCTAGCAACAAGTAGGTTGTTCGGTGTTCCGATGAGACTGTAAATTTAGCAACTTATTCTATTTTTCGCGTATGAGATGATATACAGGAACGTCACGATTTTACGATGTTAGCACAAGTGTATCACTAATAGTTTTTCTTAATTGTTACACTTTTAAATTATAATGTCAATATACCAAACGTTCCCACAGGACCCCCCTTCCAGTGATGAACAGTGTTGATTAACCTTTTCGGATGAAAGTGGTAAAGCGTACTCGATGACTTGGACTTAGACTTACGGACTAGCGTACTCGATGACTTGGACATACACTTACGGACTTGGTTGATATGTGTGTGCTAGTCCGTCGTCCATCTTGTTTTCTGTGACGGTCTTGAAGATACTGTATATCTGCCATGGTATACGCTGGTTAATGTCTCTGCATAGATACGACTATGGGTGGGTAGTTGGATAATGAATGCATGTTCGCCTCGCTTAATTAAGCACTTTATACGGACCGTTATATGAAACTATAGTGGGATTTTGGAACCATCTCATCGAATCAGGATATACTCGGCTGATTATAGATATTTATGAATTAATGTTTTCTATAGTCGCTGTCGAGACTTCAAGTTATAATCTACGTTCACGTTGTCAACGCAGCACTACCATTAAAGATGTTAGCCGCAGTAGCTGACAAAACGTTTGGACAGAATAGTTCACTTAGACCACGGCCCTATAACCTGAATCTTTATTCTACTATGGATTCCGGCCGTGAAAGCTTTTGTTATTATATAAATGTATTCTGTTCACTTTGCCTAGTTCCAACAGCGTTGAAGTTGGAGGTGACACAAAGTTGTTGTATGTAAGGCTGAGTGGTGATGTGAGGCTGTCGAATATATGGCGCCTCAAAGTACGATTAAATGAATCCGAGTAATTCAAATTTGCTCAAGGGAGAAATGTGGCGAGGTATTGCTATATCAGTAGAAATGTCGCAAAAAATGGGTTTGTTTGAGCTGGGAATGTGAATCCATTTGAGTTATAGGGATTGGTATCAGTTGAAGATATTAATACTGTTCACTATGGCTAGTTCCAGCAGCGTTGATGTTGGAAGTAATCTTAAAGTTGTTGCACGTAAGGCTGTCGGAAATCTGGCGCCTAGCAGAACAGTTGAAAGAATCCGAGTAATTCGAACTTGCTCAAGGGCGGAAAATGTGGTGAGGTCTTGCCGTATCAGTAGAAATGTCGCAAAAATGGCTTTGTTTGTGCTGGGAATGTGAATCCATTTGAGTTATAGGGATTGGTTTGAGTTGAAGACATTAATACTGTTCACTATGGCTAGTTCCAGCAGCGTTGATGTTAGCAGTGATCTCAAAGTTGTTGTACGTAAGGCTGTCGGATATCTGGCGCCTAGCAGAACAGTTGAAAGAATCCGAGTAATTCGAACTTGCTCAAGGGCGGAAAGATGTGGTGAGGTCTTGCCATATCAGTAGAAATGTCGCAAAAATGGCTTTCTTTGAGCTGGAAATGTGAATCCATTTGCGTTACAGGGATTGGTTTGAGTTGAGGTATTTCTGAAGACGATAATATTATCTATATTAAAATAAGTTGAATATTCGTTAAGAACTGGCTAATGACGGAAAGGAAAAGGGAAGGTCTTGTGATCTGTAAAAACGATGAAGTCACGAGCTTCGAGAAAATGACGGAAATGCTTGGGCAAAGTGGTCTGTCTGCTGGGTCGAATTAATGAGGGTAACTGCTGAAGTAACTCGTGGTGTACGGAATTGATTCGTTTCGTATCTGTGACGAAAGTGACAGAGGGTTGGCTAGTGTCGGTCACCTGACTCGAGGTAGTGAGGTCAGTGAGCTGATCCAGTTTGAGTTGTTGGCTGTTTGAACTTTGAAAACCGATGATTGGTTTTGTGACGTCGGCTATAAGAAACGCCATGGGAAACATCTACGTAGGCCCAAATTGAGTGATAGAATTGAGAGTGCCGTATGTTGCTATGTAGGTGCCATTTGCTGCTTGTAGCGTGAACGTGAATTTCTGACCTGACCCAGCTATAAGTGACTTGGGATACGCGCAGATGTCAACACTGGCGTACACTAGGAATTTCTGGTGTGTGATTCTGTCTGTGACAAATAGGCAACACTGCGATGCGTGGACCTCACCTCGTCATTAGTGAGCTCCTGGTTGGATTCTCGATGTCTTCCTACACGGAAGGATGCATTTCCGTGCGTTATTTTTTAGAATTTGTTGCGATAATAGTATAGGCCACTGGTTCTGTTGTTTCCATGATGAAATTGATCGACATCTTGCCCCCAAGTTTCCCCCATGTGTCGCCTCATATGGTTTAGGTCTATTCGTAGAGCTTGTACCATATTGGCAAGACCTTCGATGGTATTGACGCAGAAGTGGGCGTAGTTGTAGCTGCAACTTCGGTTTGCATTTGGCTCGCCTCCATTATGCAATCGGCGAATACGACTACTTCATTCGGCATTTTGTCCTTCAAGGCAGCGATGGCTGTCTGAAGATATTGAGGAAAGCAGATTTTTTGGGGTAGAACTTCCAACAAGTCTTCGTAGGTGACACAGAATTTGTCGCCTATTTCTTCGTGTCCAAGTAATTGTTTTGTGCGAGCTTCTTACGAGACGCCAAACCGACGAATTAGAATAAAACTCAGTCGCCGGCCGGAGGATTAATGATGACGTCACGCATTTCAGCAGCATTACGAGGATCCAGATTGCCCAATACATATTCGAACTTTTTATATTCCGATGTAATTTAGGAGGCCTCAATGCTTTATTCCACCATACAAAACCACAGTTCGGGGTCAGAGGGCACGAAGGGTGGCCGTTTGACGGTCATTCGGTTTACGGTCGAGAGGAACTGCGGCATCGGCTGCAGTCCAAAAAGCCTATAAGCCTTTGTTCAAAGTACATTGCAACTACAGAACAAAATGTGACATTTGTCTGATTAATTGAATTAAAATGAAATTCAAAAGTTAAATGCATTTCCGTAAAAACGATGGTGTTTTAGAAACAATATTACCTGTTCTTTTTCCTATTTACACTATAAAAAGGTGGTGGGTTCCTGTTAGTTATTATATCTTTGTTGTTTTAGGTACCAAAGGAAGTAATCAAGTCAATTCCAAAAGTAGTAAAGAAGAAGAAAACAAACCTAATCCGGAAGAAGCTGCTACCAAGATCCAGGCTGCTTTCAGAGGGCATAAAACACGGAAAACAATGAAACAAGCCAGTACCAAACCGGAAAAGAGTGAAAATCCAAGTAAAAATACAACCGGACAACATCAAGAAAATGTCGACATTGACTTGAACGAAGAGGGTAAGCAGCGATTAGATACTTTTATTCTTAACAGAATTATTCATTTACGATATATCAATGAAACTTTTACATCAACAAGTTTGTTTATAAGGTAATATCCAAAGGACATGTAGTTTTTGTTTTCTCTCGAACGTTCTCAGCACTTTTTGTTACGCTATCGAACTTGCACGTGATTCACATTCTGCTTAATAAAGCCATGGGACCTGTTTGAAACTCTACTTAATTTTTGTAAACCAACGACAACTGTTTAATTGTTTGCGAAATACATTAATTTTTAATCAAAAAGCTTATTATTGAAAAACTTCAACATTGGTGTTTAATTTATTAAATTGTATACATGGAGGTTGACCGAGATCGTTCGCTATAAGTTTATAGGGAATGAATGTGTCTAATGCTCCACGATGTGCCTTTTTCGAGTTTTAATTTGACAATTTCGTGTCGGCTAAAGCCTAAATAAATGGTCACAAAATATCCAGTTTTCATTAAACTTGATTAGTTTAATTTAATTTGGTATGCGTTTAATAAAAACCAAGAAAACAAAAATGTCACACAATTACGGTTTCCATATTGATGTTATATCAATTGCATTGAGAGTTTCATCCGCACCCTATGGATCCCCTTGTTTCCCAAGTGTTTGAATTTGATTATCTGTATCTAAAGAATTGGAAAAAATCCAGACACGTGTTTATTACTAAGCTAAGTTTAGATTTGTTCGTTACTCTCCTTTAAAGATGTCAAATTGACTGGGAGAAATAACAAAATTACGGTAAGGGCGCACAAATTGAAAACTACTATTTATTATTCCGCTGTTAAATATGTTCATCATATATTTACGAATATAACAGACATTATACCAAATATGTGGGCATGCAAAAGTTCAAGTCAGTTCAGAAGAAATAAATAAGTACCTGAAGTAAGAATAATCATATCAGATAATAAAAGAGCTACTATGGAGGAAAAACTAAAGAAAAGAAAAATTGAATATAATCAAACAGCTGTAAAAACACTTTCACATTTATGCCAAGAATTGAATCAATCATTTTCGTCTGTAAATACTGATACAGACATTGTTGCGTCAGCTGTTTGATCTTCAGGTGAAGAAATTATTAAACCATTTTCAAATGTAGATGAATATATAAACAAAATGCTCTGTTTGAAGTTGTAGTAAAACCTTAGATTGGCAAGACTAAGGAATGTGAAAATGAAACATTACAATTATGTGAGAAATAAATTAATCGTAACAGGTTCATCATAGTATCGGCCAATTTTTGACAAGTGAATCGCGTTCAACACGCAATGCCTCTGTACTCATACGAACGTAATTGAACGTATAAATCACGCTAGCAATACTATTTGTGATGCCGGTTTAATTTCACGAATGTCTAGCCCCACCTTTGCACACCGAATTAGATATTCAAAACCGATATCTGCGATGAAGCACCACTGATTAATGCTGATGTTCTTACCGTTATTAATAGACCGTGAAGGACATAGTTTATCGTTGCGATAAGGAAAAGAATTTTTGAAATAAATTAGTTTTATTTAGTGATGATATTCGCCAGACAGTTCCCGTTATTGTACATACCTGTCGTGAAATGACAGTCAAATTATCAATTAAGTTCAAAAGTTACTTTTGTTTCAATACTTTTTGAAATATTACGAGAAAATTAAATTCCAAAGAAATCGTCAACAGAGAATATTAGCATCTAAAAATTGTTATTCGACAATAACACAGTCACACATCATACGGTCGTCAGTCCTAAGACTGGTTGGACACGCACCTCCACTCCTTCCTATCCTGAGCTAATCTTCGCATTTCCCCAAAATTAGAACAACCCACATCCTTAACTATTTGCGAAAAGTAATCTAATCTATGTCTACCTCTACCCCTCCTAACTAGGCCTTCACGGTATGCTCATCATTCGTCTGTAACACCACGTTTCGAATGCTTCTAATCTTTTCTTTTCAGCAGCGCCCACTGTCCATTTTTCGCACCCCTACATACGATACACCTGAAATAACCTTTTTTGAATTTCTAAATTAACCGTTCGCGACTTCTTATTGAAGGCGATTCGACCCAACGCTATCCATTGCTTTATATCCCTACCACTCCTTCCGTCCTGACTTATTTCATTTCTTAGATACCTAAAATCGACCACTTCTTATAATTTTTCGTTTCCCATCATTATATTCTTTTCCTAATTTTCCTAAAAGTAGTATTTTTGTTTTACTTTTATTTATTTTCAAACTGTACTGTTTTGTTAGCACCGCATCCATTTTATTTAAAGCCATCTCTAACTCTTTGCTAGATGCTAATACCGCTCTATCATCTGCAAATATAATCATACTAATCTTTTGCCCCTGTGTATCTTTCTCTACAGTTGTGCTGTCTTTAATGATGTTGATGGCGTCTTCGATGTGTAGATTAAAAAGTAGCGCTGACAGTGTGCATCCCTGTCTGACTCCCTTCCTAATATTTACTTCTCTACGTTGCAGACCCAACTCTATAACTGACTGTTGCTTTTTATAGAAACAAAGTATTACTCCTGTATCTCATCCCTACATTGTTAAGTATATATTTAACATCATGTCCTCTTTAACATTGTCAAAAGCTTTTTCTAAATCTACAAATCCCATGTACGCACTCTTTAAATTAGAAAGAAGAGACTTGGTAAATATTAATTAAAAATTAAAAGGAATACTCACCCCTACTTACCACAAACAATTTTATTTGAGCGGACACGTGTTTCGCCCACTTCACACGTGGGCATTATCAACGCGAGACAACAGACAGTGGGCGAAACACGTGTCCGCTCAAATAAAAATATTTGTGGTAATTAGGGGTGAGTATTCCTTTTAATTTTTAATACGCACTCTTTCTTTTTTCTATCGTTTTCTTTATTGTTACCCGTAAAGATAGAATGGCCTCCCGCGTTCGTTTATTCTTCCAAACCAAAATTGATCTTCCCCTAATAGTTCTTCCGCCTTTTTTCATCCTCTGTATAATTCTAGTTTTTGACGCATGGGAAGTTAAGCAGTCACACAAAAAAACATTTTGGCCTTGTGACCTGACTATGTATACTGGTTATGCTTTTGGGGTCACTGAGTTCAAATCAAAGGTAAATTTAACTCCAGCATGTCAAGATTTGGACATAACCTCAAAAAACACAAAATATACTAAAACCGTTAATCATGATAATCCAAACGATTTTAACCCAAGAATTTTTAACCAATCAACTCTTCTACTAAATGTATAACTTTATAATTCTTTAAATCTTAATCCTAAAACCTTATAACCCCATTATCAAAATATTGAAACAGTATTGCTGAATCCATTACCATGAAAGTATTTGTGGCGTAGGTTCTAAAGAACTTGAGCAACTACCACCTGAAAAGTGCTGAAATCAATTGTCTTCTTTCTTTACTGTCTTTACTATGGAGGTACCTTGTTTGCGTAATGTTGTTTACATCGAATTTCTGTAATATGGATTTCAGAAACACTAAAAATATCGAAAAAGTGTAGTTGAGTTCATTACATTTTATTTGAATGATAACGATTTTCAATAAAATTTCTGTCTTCTATCTGTTTTCAGGTTTATTTTCACTGCCTTCTAAAGTTTGCTTTGTTCATATATATAATGCTTTATCTTAACATCCCCGTACCTGTCGATAAAACCTACGCCTTATGTTAATGACTCATTAAGAACTTTTCACTAAGGACTATTTTGAAATGGCGTGGGACGTAGCCCACACGTTCAACTTGTTATTTTATTATTGTTGGATAAGTTTGTTCTATTTGTATCTTCACAAAATTGAAAATCATAAAACTTGAACAGAGACATTTTGAATTAATTTTACATTTGTGGAGGGTGTAACAGATTTTCACAGAAATAACATAATGAAAGATATATTTACAGTCAATATTCTAAAAAATGGGAGAAAATTTTTTACAATTTGAAAGTGGGAAGAAAATGATATTGCCTAATATATTGTAATGTTCGTGGGTTTAACAAATTAACTTTAAGACTCACAACGAAATTTATCTCTTGATTCACTTCTGCAACGGTCAACTTAGGTAATTATTCTATTAGTTTACACTGCTGTTACTATTCACTGTTCTATTTATTTCACTTTTATCACTGTCAATTTATCTCTTGATTCACTTCTGCAACGGTCAATTTATTTCTACTCCACTTCGGCGATCGTCTCTTCCTTTTTATACCCCTTGCCTCCTTTCTGGAACGTTCTCCAGCCGTCCAGAGAAGTCTCGTTTTCTTTGAACGGTTTAATTGCTTTCCCGGAACGCAGGTACGACACACACGCTGACAGATACGGCACACATGAAGAAAGGCGCCCGCGGCTAGTCGGCGAATCGATAAGCCGCTCACACACACGTATGCCTGATCGCACATTATCACGTTCGTGGTCGCTATAATATATTAGCGAATTCTGAACAGTTTCCAGAATTCAATATATGTATGCAAAATTCCGAAGAGTGTTCTTATTATATACAGTTCACTCAGTTTTAATGAAAAAAAAAAACAAGTATGGCACTATTAAAAAAATACTTTCTGATGTTTTAATTGTTTGAAGTCTACTTTTATTAAGAAACCAGCTTTTCCCGGCGGCTTCGCTTAATATTCGAAACGGCTAAAATAATTTCGATGGAACTTTACAGACATGAATAGTTTTACTAGTTGTTTATTGCTTACAGCAACTGCTTTTATTATAAATAATGATAGTCCCCTCAAATTGGGAATTTTTAGTGAAAACAGGAAACAAGCCTAGTATTTGCAGAAATGTATAATAAATAATATGTGCGCATTTTTATAAAGTTGTGGAAACTTGTAAACAAATAAAGTTTTAAAAATAGATTTTTTTGTTTCTTTCTTTATAACATTGTTGCTTCTGATTTTAGAAAAAAATTTGCTGAATGCAAATTGTTTAGAATTAATTTTTTTATAGATGCCATGCGATTTTCAAAAAATTTCGCGGAAAAT